ATTATTTGGGGAATTTTGAGCTATTATGGCCACTGAATTTAGGCGCATGCGCCGAGGAATTCTTCAATCACGACAAATCATGGGGAGGGGATGTGGATGATGTATTTTAGAGCGATTTGTGATGACGTTAGCTTAAATACACAAATGAACGATTTTTCTATTGTGTTTGAAAAAAATTTTGGTTTCAAGGCCACTGACACCAAACTGTGGAGAGTTTAATGCTTGCAATCACATATCCCTTGTGATATAAGGAAGCCCTGAGAAACGCGAGAGGTTTTTCGGAAGCTCTCATGTCCGTCATTCCCGCGTTTTTCTTAATTTTCTAGAAATTTAATGATTAATTTATGTTTTGACTGCACGTGAACTCNCAACTGACTTTAGGCGCATGCGCCGAGGAATTCTTCAATCACGACAAATCATGGGGAGGGGATGTGGACGATGCATTTCAGAGCGATTTGTGATGACGTTAGCTTAAATACACAAATGAACGATTTTTCTATTGTTTGAAAAAAATTTTGGTTTCAAGGCCACTGACACCAAACCGTGGAGAGTTTAATGCTTGCAATCACATGTCCCTAGTGATATGAGGAAGCCCTGGGAAACGCGAGAGGGTTTTCGGAAGCTCTCATGTCGGTCATTCCCGCGTTTTTCTTAATTTTCTAGAAATTTAATGATTAATTTATGTTTTGACTGCACGTGAACTCATGCCAATGGGTGGATAAGGATGGCCGAGTTTAATCCCTGTAATCACATATCCCTAGGGATATGACGAAGCTCTGGGAAAGGCGAGAAGAATTTCGGAAGCTTTCATATCGGTCATTTCCGCTTTTTTCTTGATTTTCCAGAAAATTAATGATGAATTTCTGATTTGACTGCACGAGAATTCATGCCATTACGTGAATAGGTCTTACCAAATTTAATCCTTACTATTACATATCTAGGGATATGAGGAAGCTCTGGAAAATGCGAGAGGAATTTCGGAAGCTTTCATGTCGGTCATTCATGCGTTTTTCTTGATTTTCCAGAAATTTAATCATGAATTGCTCATTTGACTGCACGTAAACGCATGCCATTGGGTGTATAAGTCTTGCCAAGTTTAATCCTTGCAATTACATATCCCTAGGAATATGACGAAGCTCTGGGAAACGCGAGAGGAAATTCGGAAGCTTTCATTTCGGTCATTCATGCGTTTTTCTTAATTTTCCAGAAATTTAATCATGAATTTCAGATTTGACTGCACGTAAACTCATGCCATTGGGTGTATAAGTCTGGCCAAGTTTAGTCCTTGCAATTACATATCCCTAGGAATATGACGAAGCTCTGGGAAACGCGAGAGGAAATTTGGAAGCTTTCATGTCGATCATTCATGCGTTTTTCTTGATTTTCCAGAAATTTAATCATGAATTACTGATTTGACTGCACGAGAATTCATGCCATTAGGTGAATAGGTCTTACCAAGTTTAATCCTAGCAATCACATATCCCTGGGCATATGACGAAGCCCTGGGAAACGCGAGAGGCATTTCGGAAGCTTACATGTCGGTGATTTACGCGCTTTTCTTTATTTTCTAGAATTTTCGTGATTAATTTTTGATTTGACGAGAACTTATGCAATTGGGTGAATAAGTCTGGCCAAGTTTAATCGATGTAATCACACATCCCTAGTGATATGGAGAAGCTCTGGGAAACGCGAGAGGACTTTCGGACGAGTTCATGTCGGTCATTCACGCGTTTTCCTTTATTTTCTAGAAGTCTCGTGGTGAATTTATGTTTCGACTGCACGAGAACTCATGCCATTGGGTGAATAAGTCTG